GTACCGGTAACTAGGAGATGGCACAGAAGAATTGGAGGGATCTGTATGCCGGTGCATAGACACAGCACTGATAGATAGATAGATAGTCTGCCCAACCCTCAATAAACTCTGTTGTCTGAACCGAGAGCCCCATGGCGGTATTGGACGAAGCACGGTATAGTCACTTGTGCCAGCCGGCCCGATCATTCGAAAGCCTCCAAGCAAGATTGTACGAGTACGGCAGAGTGAGGGACTGTTTGGTGCGGCATGGTTGAGATCATAAACCATAACTTACTTGTAGTTTGGGAACCACAGGACTGTCTGGCAGAACATGGTTACAAACCGTGGTTTATAGATCTCCTGAAACCATTGGTTGCGTAGCCATGTGTGGTTTCCAGTCAGCAGTCAACCAGATTTCACACATCACGTGCACCAAACTCTTGTCACGTGATAGAATATTTGGCCGACATCACGTGAACCACAGTGCTTTTCGGGCAGAATCACCAGCATGGCTTCGGCCAGGTAAACAAACAATAGAGTACTGTATAGGTCCCCCCCAAATTGTGACCTGAAGGCTCCAATCGCTGGTTCACTATCTGCGCCCAGTACGATAGGCAAAATTGGTACGAAGGCCGAGCCGTTTTGCTCGATTCTCGGGAGTGCCTTTCTATGCCGGTATGCACGCACCTTCAGTATTAAGTTAAGCTCGTGACACGTTTGACTTCTCTCGATGCTCCCAACTGCTACACTCAACTCTGCATTTCCCACCACCACAAAAATTTTCCCCGACTCCTGCCAAACCCCTTACTCGCACCCACTCTTCCACCATCCGCAGAATCCTTCTCGTCCTCCACTCGTTACCCCCCTGATCTTCTATGAGAGCCATAGGCCCCTGATAACACCCGCCCATCGCCGCTATGCATTTCATCCGGCCTCAATGGCTTACACATTCGGGTAAGTCTTGAACGCGTTCATCGCATCTTTATTCGTGACACTCCCCGCTAATACGGACAAATCTTCTGCTCTCAGCTGAGAAGAAGGCCTGTGAGGTTTACTCTTGCCACGTCTCCCCGGATGGTGAACGGTTAGCGACCGGAGGTCTCGGTATGTTTGGCGCCCCATATTGTTCCTTGTTTGGATGGGAACTCTGCTGACGGTGTGCAGACGGCAACGTTCGGATTTGGTCCACCCGTGCTGTCTACGGCGCCCCCGATCAGAGCGCTTCACACCTTCCCAAACAGCTTTGTTCTTTATCCCATCATTCTGGCGCTGTCCTGACCGTCCGCTTTTCCGGCAACAACCGCTATCTTGCTTCGGGTTCCGATGACAAGATTGTTCTAGTTTACGAGCGTGACCTTTCGGCCACGCCTTCCGCTCGTCCGCTCTTCGGCTCCAATGAAGCTCCGCATATAGAGAAATGGAGGACATATAGGCGATTGGCTGGCCATGACAACGATGTCCAGGATGTTGGATGGTCCGCTGATTCTTCCGTGCTGGTTTCGGTGGGGCTGGATTCCAAGGTTATCATTTGGTCTGGGAGCACGTTTGAGAGGCTGAAGCGGATTGACGTTCATCAATCCCATGTCAAAGGACTCACCTTTGACCCCGCCAATAAATATTTCGCGACGGCCAGTGACGACAGGAGCATCAAGATATTTCGTTTCAATTCTCCCGCAGCCAATGCGACCGCGCACGACCAACAGACAAATTTTACAGTCGAAACGTCCATCACAACACCATTCAAAGACTCACCATTAACCACATACTTTCGCCGTTGTTCATGGTCCCCCGATGGTTCTCATATAGCGGCTGCTAATGCAGTCAATGGCCCTGTTAGCTCTGTCGCCATCATAAACCGTGGTAATTGGGACAGCGAGATCAACCTGATCGGCCATGAGGGTCCAGTGGAAGTCTGCGCTTTTGCTCCCAGGATGTTCTCGAAGACCCCCTTGACCCCAGGAACTCCACCATCAACACCGGTTACCGTTATTGCCTGCGCAGGCCAAGACAAAGCCCTATCGATTTGGAACACCTCCAATCCCCGCCCTCTCATAATCGCCCAGGATCTTGCCACAAAGGCCATTTCTGACTTGACGTGGAGCCCGGACGGGAGGACACTATTCGTCTGCTCCCTGGACGGTTCAATAATATGCATTTGTTTTGAGGATGGTGACCTTGGATTTGTGCTCGGACTGGAAGAGAACGAACGGATTCTACAAAAGTTTGGTGCTGGCAGAAAGGGCGCGACCCTTCCTGAAGGAACAGAGAGCGTTAGACTGGAAGAAATGGCCCGGGATGGGGAGAGGAGGGAAGTGGAAGGGCGAATGGGCGAGCTCATGATGGATGGGAACGGCAAGGCAGGTGATACACCCATGGCCAATTCGGGTAGCACCGCGGGTCCTCAATGGCAAATGCAGCAGGTTCCTGAAACAGAAAAGGCTATCAACCCTCCAGATCAGAAGGAGAAGCCATACAAGCAAAAGGTTACGCTGACGAAGGATGGCAAGAAGAGGGTTGCTCCATTGTTGGTTTCAACGTAAGTGACTTGCCCTCCGGACCCCTATCCATTCAAGGTTGTAACGTCAGTTTTATAGGGGTGGAGGCCATCGCTCAAATCTCCCCAACGCACATCTTCTGCAAGCCTCTGCAAACAACAACTCAACAATAAGCAATGACCCGAAGACAATCTTGGACCTCTCGAGACCGTACGATGGCCTACCAAAAGGCGGAATGCCCGTCCTCATCTTCGGCAACAAGCGCAAGGCACCCGTTCCGGAAGAGGGAGAGGAGGAAAACCCTCAGCAAATCACCAACGGGAAGCGCGTCGCAGTTTTAGCTAGCGGAGGATCAGGAAAAAAGGGGTCTGAAGAGACCCCGGAATTCATCAGACCCGCTGTAATCAATCCAGCAACTTCTATTAGTCAAATTAGATTGGGTGTTCCCAAAGTCCGGAATATTGTCTCGCGGATTGTGGACCCCAGCGGCCTACCTTCTAGTAATGTCCCTAGTGCTGCAGGCGGTGCCATTGTTGCCGGTACACAGGCCCCTCCCTCGTCAGATGATTACACCTTTGAAGCCAGGAACCTCAGAAACGTGGGGGAGCCGACACGCCTAACTCTCTTGAGACATGGCCAGGTACTCTGGATGGACTTTGTTCCCAAAGCTGCTCTGCTCGTGGCTGGGAATAGTAACTTCTGGTCCGTAGCTTGTGAGGATGGGACCATTCATGTCTTTACGCCGGTTGGGAGGAGGTTATTGAGCCCGCTCATTCTCGAAGCGCAGCCATGTTTCATGGAGTGCAGAGGTTGGTGGCTGATGTGCATAACCTCAATCGGGATGGCCCACGTTTGGTAAGGAAGCGATTCACGGGTCAACTTGTATATCATGGCTAACTTTACCACTCTAGGAACCTCCAAACAATGAAATCTCCCCATCCGCCCATATCTCTAGCACCCATTCTCGATTCCTCAAACACTTACCAGAAACAAGACAGCCCTACCAAGGCTGAGGCGATAACCGAAGCTTGTGTGAATTCGGAAGGAACCCTGATAGTTTCCCTAACCAATGGGGACGGATTTGCCTACTCAAACCACATGTACACATGGCACAAACTCACAGAAGCTTGGTGGGCGGTCGGATCGCAATACTGGGATTCCACGGGCACTATGCGGCCCCCACAGGGTTCTTCTGATAATCCAACGGATCCTAAGAGCCCTGCCATCTCGGCTGGTGTCATCTCGCACCTTGAACGCCGGACAACGAACGAAGTTCTTCTTCACGGACGTGGGCGCTTCCTCCAGCGTATTGTCAAGTCCCTTCTTAACAGAGAGGGATACGAAGGGTTTGAAACAGCTGTGTCTTTGTCGCATTTGGAGAATAGGATGGCTGCGGCCGTGTTGCTTAATGCCAAGGACGACTTCAAAAATTACTTGATGATGTACGCTCGTCGTATTGCGGCGGAAGGGATGAAGGCGAAGGTGGAGGAGCTGCTGCGGGACATGATGGGTAGAATAGGCATGGAAGAGGAGGAGAAGGCTGATGAGAAGGAGGAGGAAGATATTGTTGGGTGGAATAAACGGGAGTTGTTGAAGCAGATTTTGCTCGCTATCGGTTTGTTTCCCCTGACTCATAGTCTGTTCGCGTTGATTATGCTAACAAAAACGAAAAACAGGCAAGCATCGCGACCTCCAGAGAATTGCAGTTCCCTACGCCAGACTCCTTGGGGTGATGGATGAAGATGAGGGTGAGGGCATCTAAATAATCATCTCCTCTCCCTCTCTCCACCCCCATTCCCTCATCTACACCAGTGTGTTTCCTTTTATTATACATTCTTCATTTTATGCTAGTACCAAGTATCTCCTTTGTTTGGTTGGGAATAAGCGGGGTCATACAAGTACGCTGGCTTTGTATTTCTTTTTTTTCTTTTTTTTTTCTTTTTTTTTTCTTTTTTTTCACAAAAATTTTCATCGTGTTGTGTTTGTCTTTCTTGCTTGTAATAGCTGGGTGGTAAAATAAAGTAAAGGCATGATTGGTATGGCACCATGTAGAATGGAGCGGATAAAATGATAGAAAAAAACAAAAAAAACATCATAGTAGGAGAATATGTGATATGAACGCTGTTTTATTCATTAAAACCTATTCCACATTGTAGTTTTTTTTTTTTTTTTTTCATCAACAAGACGGGGAAACCGCTACTCAGGTACAAATTTAACGCCACGGGCCGACAAAAACCAGAACCAAGGTTTCGGACCGCAGCACTGTGCAGCACTATACCGGTAACTTACATACGATGCATGACCCGGCAATGCAAGATTCTCACTTCACAAACCCGGCCTATGTACAGTACGACAGAAGGCGAAATCCATGATGAACAATGAAAAGTCGATCAATCCTAGCCCGACATCAATTGATAAATAAACCATGTCAGGACAATCCACCCCGTATTTATGTTTCTTTTTCCCTTTTTTCCCTTCCCTCCGCAAAAGAACGATAACAATAAGGCCCTGTTTCTTCCGCATGCCCATCATATTTTTTATGGTCATAAAAGCTGCAAATGACATATATGCTGGGATAAAAAATATAAAAAAAATCATATTATTGAAAATATAGGTGTTCGGCATGGCCATAAAATAATAAGCATTAAGACATAAATATTCAGTTTATTGTATCTAGTTTTTGCTATGCAACTCTTATAGTTTTACCCTTCCATTCACAGCCACATTATATAACACTATTATTTAATGTCAGAACTGCTCCCTTACTCAATCTATTAAAATTTGCCAGTTTTTGATTTATTACCCAACTTAGGTCCTAAAGTTACAGTGATATCTGAAAATATGCTATGATATAAAAAAAATGGTACTTTTTGGCCATGCTGAACACCCCCTCAATATAAAAGTTTTGGATGGAGAAAGCTATGCTATAAAAACTGCTTTTACACCATAAAAGTGACGTGCCGAAGAGGGCTTGAACTTAATTCTCAGTCATATCATAACTAGTCTGCAGGCACATAGAGTGATACCCTGTGAACGTCAGCCTCAGTGTCGGTGCGGTGCGGTACTATAATACGGTATATCATACCCAGGCCTCTCTCTAATTAAATTAACTTAATTCAACGGCAAGCAACAACTCCATCCTAATCCACCTCCGGTTGCCGCTCAATCAATAAATCTCCCACTAAGCCTTACAACGACAACGGCAACAACAACAACAACAACAACAACCGCTAATCAACCAACCAACCACTAGCCTACAATGTCAACAACCCCACCCCACTACCCGGCTCCGGGTCCGGGCCTCCTAACGCCATTAGAACAGGAAATCCTGGACGAGTATACCCGTCTACTGCATAACATGAATAACGTCTCCTGCCCCTTCTACTTCCATCCTATCTCCTCCATACCCTGCGGGTAATGCTGACGGTACTCACCCTAACTAGCTGTCGACATCCATCGCCGCCATCGCCGGAACGCCGACTGCAAAGATACTGGATTCGCTGAGGGGGCTGGAGCGCAAGACGGGCTTGGTGTTCACATTGCTGAAGGCGTCGGTTTATTCCATGGTTTTACAGCAGCAGTTGGATGTTGAGGGGAGGGAGGGGGAGGTTGGTGGTGGGAATGGTGGGGAAGGGGAGGGGTATGGAAAAGGGGAGGGAGAGAGGGGGGATGAGAGTCGGTTTGATTGAGGCTGCCATCACAGTTATGGATTGTGGGGCTGCTTGATGGTTTGCCATAGGTGGTGGTATTAATGCTTTTATTTTTCTTGTTTTCTAAAAGCTACTACTGCTAAACCAAAGGATATGAAACCGTTATCAAGTTGTTTTTTCTCTTTTTTTTTTTCCCCTCTCCCCTCTACCCTCCCCTTCTCCCAATTACACGCTCGAATCTGTGGGAGGTATCACAATTCCAGGGCGAAGGAAGTCAGGATCGTTTTCGAATTCCTCTTTAACCTATTGCATCTCTTTCATTAGCTCTATACCGCCCACCCACAAGGACAAATAAAAAGATAAGGGATAAGGGGGGGAGGATGAAGAAAGGAAAAGAAGAAAAAAACTCACAATATCCAATCCCCCGACCAAAAGTCCTTTATAGTACAATTGCGGATAGGTCGGCCAGTCAGAAAAAACCTTCAGTCCCTGTCTGACTTCGTCGTCGGCGAGGATATTGAAAAAGCCATAGCGCACTTCCCTTTCCCTGAGCAGTGCGACGAGCTGTCTGGAGAATCCGCACTGCGGCTGGGCCGGAGTACCCTTCATGAAGAGCATCACGGGCGCAGCGCTTACGAGTTGTTTAAGGCGGACATTGATGTCCTCTGCAAAGTCTTCTTCTCCTCCTTCCCCGTCTTCAGTGGTGGCTCCATTAGCAGCAGAGCTCGGGTCGGCGGTAGTTTGTTTTGCGGGGAGGTCGAGGGTCTCGACGTCACTATGCTTTTCCACAGCCGATCTTAGCAGTGCTGAGTCTGCACCCGAGACTTTCTGGAGAACTGTTTGGTCCTTTAGGAAGAGAAAGTATGGCACAGCGGTAACGTCGTATTTCTCGGTGGCAGAGGCGTTGGATTCGTCTTCTGCGTCGATGGAGAGGTAGATGGCGGCATCGGGAGACTTGGTCGCAATTGCTTCGAAGACTCTATTTTGTTAATTCTGGTTAGCTGGTTTTTCTGTAAGGCAAATTGAGGGAATGGGGGAGGATCCAAATCTGGGCTCGTGCTCACTGATTCATCTGAGCACAAGGCTCCGCCCAAGCCGCGTAGAAGTTGAGAATGACAAGTTTGTCAGCAGGGGTCCTATCAAGGATCGCCGTAACCTCCTCCTCGTTCTTAATTTGGATGCTCATCTTGACGGTTGGTTTTTTTTTTTTTTTTCCCTTTGTCGGATACGCTTTCAAGGGCTTCTCGTTTTGTTTCACGTCGTATCGGGGTCCGGATGTTTGGTGGGGCGGTAAGGAATGTTTGGTGGGGCGCTCGAGTTGATCTGATAAAGAAGGTTGAAGGAGGGACCACGGCGGGGTTTGTGTCTTTTTTTCTCCTTCAGTAGAATGCCAAGAATTTAATGACGTGCTAATCAGATTGACCAGATTAGATAAAACGAGAGAGTGGTAGAAATGATCTTATGATAAAATGACCAGGAACAATGTCCGAGGAGGTGATGATTTGATAATATGATAGACTATGTTCGGAGACTCGACAAGTCTCCATTGATGAAACGTTCAAAATCATATACCGCAAATATAAAGGAAAAAGGTCCCGCTCTACTCAGTACGATTATTCCATCATCACCAAATCGACTTGGGGGATCTCTCGCTATGGGTGTTTTTTTGGTAATTGTATTTGATATGCATCCAATTTATGAGTAAGAGACATTTCCTGGGAAAGTGGAAATGGAAACATCAGCATTTGGGATGGGGTGTAGGTACACAAATACAAAAAAGCCACAATCATATTATCTATAGCTCAGAGATTCTGGTAAAGGAGAGAGCTAGAGAGGTTATATCTCTAGCCCAATACTCAATACTGAACAACGTATGGCGTGAAAAGACAACCTAGATGAAGACAGTTTAGCAGATTAGGCACATGCCCACCGCAGAGGATAGAAAAAAAAATTAAAAAAAAAAGAGTAGTTATATAACATTATCATGTCTATCATACTTTCCGTAGGTCATAGAGAGCATCTCGGAGCATTTACCCCGGCTGTAGAATTGAGTGGGGGTGACCTGGCAGCACCCCATGGTTCGCTTCACCAGCACTTTCTACTCCAACATTTGTAAGGCATCATACATAGTAATATATTCTTGAACACCGCCAACTGGTTCCTTGCGGGGACCCACAAGAAACTGTCCTCGAGGTGCAAGGGTCAGACATAAATTTGTGGTACACCCAAGAACCGTGGCATTGAAAGAATCTCAAATTCCCCTTCCCCCAGTCAACTTTGAACAAATGCAATTGACAGATCAGGTGGCCTGGTGTCCAGTTCGATATCATACATTTGTCGGAAAAATAAATTCAACACCCTCAACGGGCACTTGTCCAGCAACGGAAGGCTCGCATCTTCAGGTGAGCTGGTTTTGGCGTATATTATCATACCCCTAATTTTGTCTAAAATCATCAACAACTCTACTCTGTACTGTACTGTACCACTGATGTTTTATGCCTGGCACTCGCAGAACACCCAGCCCCCCCCCTTGGCAACAAATTCCTCTAGGTATGTACCGCACCATACCAACAAAAATATATGGCGGAGGATTCTGCACCCGTTCGACCGCAGGGGAGAAGGGGACCGTTTCCTCGGGACCAATATCTACCTTCTAAACACAGCATCATGTCTCCTATAAGGTTCATGCCCTTTTCCCGGAACCAGCCTGAAAATAACCCCTTAGATAACCAACCATCAAACAAACAAGGGTGGTGATACGGGTTCTCTATCATGAAAAATCACTCGGACATTGCAAACTTGCAAACCTGCTCGTTAGCTCCCTGACAGTATCATAAAGGGGCAGAGGTTCCCGCTGAAACATCCCATTGATGAAAACCCAAAAGAGAGGAACGCGAATGGAAGAAGTTTAAATTTCCGAACATAAGGTATCGCACAGGTATTGGGCGTGGGCTGGTACAGTAAGTCTCTGCACCCACGCGCCACCGGAGCCAGAAGACGAAAGTATGTATTATACAGTATCATACTATACACAATGGTCAAATCTCTCTTCTTGTCACTAAACCGCGGGCTGTGTCGACCTCTGTTCTGCTCGGGCACCACAAGTTGCCAAAGCCGTCAAGAAACCCTCCAGGAGAGAGGAGAGCGCTGTGAAACCATTTGGCAGACTGCTGTCGGAAAAAAACAAACAAATATCTCCACTGAACCGCTCTCCCGTTTGGAAAAAATTACCGGGCCTCATTCCCCAAGAAGAAGCGAACGACCCTCCTCCATGCATGACCCACGGGCCCTACTGAACCGCCGCAAACAAGTAAAGCAAACATCTTTACAAACGAAGCAAACTTTAACAACGTGTCCTCCTCACCCGTTCCATAACCTCCAAAGCGACATTTTCTACAATAGCTATTATATGTGGATTCCATCATGAAATCTTATTCGGCCCTCGGCACCTCGCAAAAACCCAAGTTCTCAGTAAAAGAGTCGTCAACCGTGACCAACAATACTTTATCCCTCACAGCATCTATGGGACTCTCTGGCTGAGAATTTCTACTGCCGGATATCTGCATAATACTTGGGTTGGATTGGATCATATTGGTTGTTTGTTAGGCTTTGATTAAGTTATGCACAGTGCATAAATACTGCAAAAGTATACCATAGCATACAGGTGTGTTACGGTAGTATTACAGTCTACACAACTAGCGGAATGAATGTTATCAGTTATCCGTTAACTACCGCATAATTCGTACACCACTGCCGGTACTGAAACAGACTCCTCGATACACCAAAACCCCACATTTCCAGGCACGCTTTTGAGGTACCGACACCATGGGGAGAGACAAGGGATAATAATGCAGCGATCGGGCATCGATGCTAGGGGGCTGTGCGTAGACGGCTAGAGGCATGGTACGTTCTAGAAATACAAGTCCCGCTGCAGGTGCCATAACTCCGGTTAAAATATGAGCCCCGTCCTTTTCCAATCCAACCACTGTGCAGCAAACATACCAAATTACCGAAAAGTGCATCTACTCTACCCCCCAAACCGCTACGGACACTCAATCCCCACCATCCATATCAGCGAGAGGATTAGCATGTACCGTGACCCTCTGGATCTTGACTGGCTTCTTTGGCCGATACTTCTTGTCCACCTCTACAACTTCAAGTTTATCCAACGTCGAATCAATCCCATCGATGACCTAGCAACCGAACAATCAGTCCAGCCGTCCCCACTCTTGAAATCCCACCACCTCGCGCTACCGTAGAATGGGAGGAGGACACACCTTCCCGAAAACCGTATTCAGACCGTCCAAGTGCGGATGTGCCCCATATGTGATAAAGAATTGACTAGCATTTGTGTTCGGCCCTGAATTCGCCATGCTCACAACCCCTCGGACATTATGCCTGAGCGCAGGCTTGATCTCGTCTTCAAACTTCCCACCCCATATCGACTTCCCACCCTTTCCATTGCCCATCTCGCCATCTCCGGTCTGCGTTATGAAGCCCGCTATATTGCGGTGGAAGGGGCAGTTGTCAAAGTAGCCGGATGCGCAGAGGGCGAGGAAATTCTCAGCCGTTTTCGGCACAGCTTCGCAGAATATCTCGATTTTTAGTGGGCCGGCTTCTGTATGCAGGGTGACTGACATAGTGGCGAGGGGGCTGTACTTAAGCTCTGAGAGTTGTGTAGGTATGTGACAATTTTGCCGCGTTAGTGAGGTGCAGTTGGTTGTTTACCGGGCGATTCGAATTTTGAGCCCCATTCCTTGGCGTTATCAATTGGCGACGCTAATTACCAGGTTTTTAGGGCTTGAAGACCTAGTATCATTGAGTGACTGTGCCAAGCTCGCTCTCCACTAAGTTGACACTCCCACTCAGAATATCCCCACCTCTGCAATCCAATCAGCCAAACATCACGCCTAACGACAACACACGACGGCAACAGTGACAAAGAGACCCCTAAACAGCTCTCCCAAAGTCTCATAATACGAAAACATGGCTCGGTCTGTTTCCACAATAAAAATCCTCTAGATTCTGTCAACTAATTCAACTAACGTTCTGTGTTCAGTGGACCGTAAGACTCCGTCAAAAAACTCTGGATATCGTGCTGGAGGGATGGGCGACCACAGGAGGAGGACTGGATCCATTGGGGGATTTGGCGTGCCATATTTTGCAACTTGAGCTTTAGATGCCAAAGTTCCGCCTTTTCACACCTTTGGATGCCCTCCAATTCCCGGATCGACCAAATCCTCCCTTGAATTTCTGTGCGCGGTGAATATGAAGCTGATGCCAATTTCTATAACAGAAAGAAGCACTTGAAGAGGCTTAATGCCCCCTCTCATTGGCTGCTCGACAAACTCTCTGGGAAATACGCTCCCAGACCCTCCCCTGGTATGTTTCGCTTCACTCGTTGAAGTAGTCTCCGGGCTCGTCTTTACTGACGGGTCTTGTCACCAGGCCCTCACAAGTTGAGGGATTGCATGCCCCTAGTCGTTTTCATTAGAAACAGACTTAAGTATGCCCTTAACAGCAGGTGAGTCCCTCCCTGTTCAAACTTCAAGAAACATCGTAACAGGATAAACAGAGAAGTCAAGGCCATCTTAATGCAGCGTCTCGTCAAGGTCGATGGTAAAGTCCGTACTGACCCTACCTTCCCTGCTGGCTTCATGGACGTTATCACCATTGAAAAGACCGGCGAGCGCTTCCGTCTTATCTACGATACCAAGGGACGTTTCACCATCCACCGTATCACCGAGACCGAGGCTGCATACAAGCTCGCAAAGGTCAAGCGTGTTCAGCTGGGTGCTAAGGGGATCCCGTATCTTGTTACCCATGACGCCCGCACTATCCGCTATCCTGACCCCACCATCCGTGTCAACGACACTGTCAAGATTGATATTGAGACCGGAAAGATCACTGAGTTCATCCGCTTCGATACCGGCACCATCGCTATGGTTACTGGTGGCCGCAACATGGGTCGTGTTGGTGTTATCACCCACCGCGAGAGACACGATGGTGGTTTTGATATTGTTCATATCAAGGATGCTATCGATAACACCTTCGCTACCCGCCTTAGCAACGTTTTCATCATCGGCCAGGACAAACCATGGATTTCCCTACCAAAGGGCAAGGGTGTCAAGGTTCGTATATATATATCCTATGCTCTCCCATGCCGCATACCGCATGAACCATCTGCTAATCCGACATTCACAGTTGACCATCGCTGAGGAGAGGGATCGTCGCCGTGCTCACGCTCTTTCATAGATGTAGTTTCTGTATGTCTAGGTCACAAAAAAAAACCCTAAATTCATTTTAAAAAGGTTAACTTTTTTCTTCTCACCATGGGCGCTTTTGAATTCTGGGAAATGGAATATTTTATTTATCTATTTATTTTGTTAATAAAACATCTGAATTCCCATGGTATGGAGGCGCCAACTGCTTTACGAAGGCTCTTCACTGCATCTGATACAGGCCACCATTTTGTTGAGACGTAACACGCACGCATGGGAGCGCTGGCAGCGCTGATCCCTGTGCCATCACAGTAAAACAGTCCCGGTACTGAGCCCAGCACCGCTCCAACATGCATCATCCAATCGATTTTGAAAACTGCATGAATTCCAGCGACAAGGTTTGGTTGGATTGTTTCAAGATACAGCCCTATCCATGTCCCGCACTAGGCTCAAATACACAAAACATCACTCGCGCACGTCAAACTCGTACTCAAGTCAGATGCGATAACGAAGGCAAGCATAGTGCCAGCAGAATGATAACAATGATAATAATAATAATAAATAATAGAATTCGCAATAACTCATCCAATCATATTACAAATAGCACTCCCTCCCCCAAGTGATACCCTCTCCTTCCATTACCAAATCCAAGCACACATGCCGCCACAGCACTTCTATGATATGATAAATTTCCACCTCTATCAAATCCCTCCACTCCGCATCACACAAAAAAACCTTCCCCAGATACCCCCACCTGAACCCACGCAACCCCCCAATCCGATCCATACCAGAATAACCCAAACCCCTACCATTCGTATAGAACGTAAACAAGAGATAGATGAAGCAAAAGAGGCCGCCAATTTCAATGAATGGTGTATGATACCAGTATGAGGAATGTAATGATATAGAAAAGGAGGAAAAAGGAGAAGAAAAAAAGGGGGGAAAAGGAACCAGTCTTTCATACACACACACCCTGACCATTACCACGTCAACATTAGCTTACTCTGCCGCGCCCTGCGCGAGACAGGGAGGAACGGAAGGGAGGGAGGGAGGGAAGGGAAGGGAAGGGAAACCAAATTCTATGCGCTTGACTTATGCATGAGTGGCAGGGTAGGCAGGTGGGTAGGTAGCTAGGTGGATGAAAAGGGATGTGTGTGGTTAGCTTGCATCGCATGGCATCACATTGTAAAAACATAACCCCCCCCTCCATCATCCGTCTATCCTCAGCCCAAGGGGGGGAACAACCAAGATAAAGGAAGGGGCATAGTATAAATTAACCACAAAAGGAATGACAAAAGAAGAGAAATAAGGAAAATGTGATTTTTTTACTACTGCGGAATTTCCTCCATTTGCGTTTTCTCCAACTAACCTTATTCGTTGGTTTCCTTCAATGCCGCGGTGTATATGCAGACAACGTTGGGCGAACAAGAGGGATCGCGAAGAAATGTCTTGGAGAAAGAAATAGTAGAAAAAAAGAAGAAAAAGGTACAGCCAGCCAAACTCCGCTAAAAAATAAATATTTAACAGGAGAAAAAAAAAGATACAGTAACCCAACGAGAGAGAGAGGAGGGGGGGGAGCAGAGCAAGAAATAATAAAAGCACCGTCATTAAAACCCGAGCATTCCCTCACCAACCCAAACCATGACTTAAGTCGAAACTAGAATGGCAGAAGTATAAGGTCAAAAGACCATTTTCGTTTTTAAAATCTGACTGTTTACTTTTCGCATCAATTTCAAGGCGGCGGCGAGGATCCGGTTCGAGGGACATTCAGGTCTTCTCGGAACCGACTAGAACCCTTGAGGGTTAGCCTTCGCTCGGGAGTAAATGATCTCTCTGTGTTGGAATCATCCGGCAGCCGACCTTCTTTCATACTGCTTCCCTCCGCTGGATCACTCATGGCTTGCGAGGCAAACTCGGCGCCCTGAGTATCGCTCTCAATTGTTTTGTGCCAATGTTCTGGCAAGCAAACGCACACCAAGGGGAAGGCTTTAACTTCACCCCTAGGAGGGGGCGAGGATGCCCGACGTTGCGACATCTGTGAAGCAGATATCCCACTATCACGCATGTGACGACGATTGATGAAATCCTCAGCCCTCTCGCCCAAGCGGACCCCGGTCGCCCATCCTAGAATTGTTAGCAAAACAAAGATAACAAGAGTTCGGAATATAATACCGTCATCCCAGATGCCCACGATCTTAATCATGTCACCCCTCTCAAGTTCAAATTCATCAGGCGCCCGCGGTGCATATGCCCAGAGAACCGCCACCTTATCACCCGGATGCATATCATCGGACGAATAATAGTCCTACAGAAGAATATCAGCGCACCGAACGTCAACACAAACTCATAAACCGTACAGAGAAATGACATACCTTGAAGAATGGCAATTGTTCTGATTGTGGACTAGGAAATTGAGGGGAAGCAAGCCCCCTATCGCTGTCCGTAATAGGGGAAGTTGGGTTTTCAGACGCCAGAATCGAGGTACTAGATAGAGAGGCATTTCGGTCACGTGGTGGTGGGTGTAATGGGCGACCTTGAGGTGAATATTTTCGCTGGTTATGCGATTCAGGGCTATCCTCGAGACCAAAATCGGAGGATGACGAGCTATTGCCGATAACCCTGCGTCCACCGCTGGCAATGACTGCTGGAGATGATGGGTCGCTCTCTGATGCAATGTTAGTCGCTTCAAGAGCTGACATTCTGGCGATCCGGCCCCCAGCCAGAACCTCATATCCCTGAGCATGCACATTTGAGGCAACGGGATTAAAGGTTATTGACGGGCTTCTGTAGGTCCGGGTCGGCTGAGTGAAAGCAGGTGCTGGCGCACCGTGTCTTCTCCTCCGGTAGAACAGTACAAGGAAAGCAACGAGAGCCACTCCAACGAGAGCACCAATTGTAATTCCAGCAATCGCGCCTGCAGAAAGCCCAGAACCACCGCCCGAACCACGACCCGAACCACCGGTACCCGAGCCCGGTGAGCTAGATGCCGACGGACTCAAAGTCGTGGTGAATATAGGGGGCAAGGCAGTCGCAGTCGGCAGGTCAACGTCAGCACACCTCTTTTGAGCATTTGAATTGTAGCAACATGTATCCGTTGAATTTGGCGAGCCACTTGCACAATAAAGGCACAACCCGGGTAAATTCTCACTATTGGGCTTGTAAGTCAAGCGTGTAAAAATAGACTCAGGAGAACCCACTTATAGCCACAATTGTAAGATTCGTTCTCCTCCCCTTGAATACATCTGCCTGAGAGAGAATCTGATGGCAAGGCACAGATGGTGAAGTCAGAACGTATAAAGTCAAGAGTGTTTGCTGAACTGCTTCCACAGGTATCCTCATTCGAGATAATTATTTGCTCGCTGATGGCAAATTCAGCCTAAAAGATGCATGTTAGAGAAGCTCATCTACTTCGACGAGAATGCGTACGCAAGTATCTGCACAGATGGGGGTTGAATCCTGGTTCGAAAGTGAACATAGTCTCCGTGAATCCTGAATCATTCGGGAACATAGGACGCTCCGTGTGTAACGTGCGTATAACTCGGTAGTATTGGAAAGTGTAAGGTTCGAACAACCAAACAATTCTTGAAACCTTGAGTGCATGTCAGCAGCCGCGCAAGCACCGCAGCAAACATACACCGCTGCCACTCACTTATGTTTGGCATAATCTTGTTTGATATACTGTTCGAATTGATTGTCAAACTGCTCGATATTGGCAACATATTGAAGAAAGGGGCTGAAATAGTGTTAGCACTCTCATTCATGGTTCACCGAGGAGACGCGTGGGATCATACAAACTTCCAAATAGAGCAGCCGAAGTGGATATAGAGGAACGATTAAAGGCTGCGCAGGTGCGAGAAGTAGAGAGTGGAATACAGCTCCCAGCTGCCTGAGCAGCCGCTAGCGGTACGAGCAGCGTTGACAGAATGACAAAACTCGCCCCGCTCAATGTCGTCCTTCGGTTTTGATACCGCGGAGAAGGCATGTTGGAGGTTGATTCTGCAAATGCATCACAATCCGAAGGTATCGTTAAGCCCACTGCCGCGCGGTCAATGGTATCGGGTGCGTAAGGGTAGCAGTCACTGGAACGGCGTCCGATGCAAGCAATTCTCTCCACACTCATTGACCTGAATTCAAATTCCCTAGGCAGCCAGCTCTCTCGAGCAGGCAATCCTCACTTTCCAAGTTGGCCGGGGGGTTCGAAGGGGAAGGGGAAGAGGATTCACTCTGGCAGCAAAAAACAACAATGAACCGTAATTAAACCTGTGCAAAGAGGGGAGAGGGGGGGGGGTCAGAAGGAGAGGACACCCCGGAAAATCTGAGCAGTGAGAGGACAAAACTTGCAGAACGAGCGACTGGGGAAATAGGTCAAGAGGAAAAAAGAGCGTGTGGAAGGAAAAGGAAAAGCTGCAGCCAGTTAGTTAGTAGTGTACGGTAGGTGAAGGAGTGAAAATTGGTTGGTCGAAACGAAAGGCGAGTGACTGGCTGACAGACGAACCGACTAGCAGCCCAGAGACAGCCGGTGGGAGAGGAAGGGAGAAGCCGGACACAACAAAAAAAAACAATGGGGGTGCTCTGAACGGGGGAAGTGTCTAATGGGGTAAAGAGTTTTAGGGGTAACCCAAGAAGGAGAGACTTCTCTTCCCGGGCAATTTGGGGGGCAGAGTGTGTACTCGAGTACTGGTGCCTACGGTAGAATGAGGAATATTATGGCTTTCAGGGCTGCAAGGGCAAGCCAAGGTCTAGGGAACGTTGTTGTACTCGAGAACCCAAAACGCGTTAGCGTGATGCTCGGGGAAATGAGATGCACGGCCTGTCGCGCCAGGCACACTCAAAACCTCTGCGACATTCCCCAATCGAGCCAACGGGAGGAAGCGAGCTGGCAGCCAACATCTCCCAAGTCTTTCCCTTACTCGAGTACCAATGTTGCTTCTTTTCAACTGACCACACGACAGCTCATGAGGTGCTGGGTACTTGTGCCAGAATGTCTTGGCGAGTTTGGGTGCAAATTGTGTCATCCTGGCGATGACAGGGCACCCGGATACTTTGTGAATTGTCGGGCACCGTACTTGTAGCAGAAACCCCCTTAACCCGGTCTGGAGGGGTGAAGTATCGTACTGGTACTGGAGGCAGAGAATCTCATGCGAAATTGCCTGTAGCAATTCTGCACCAAATTCTGCACCAGTACCGGTAATAGTACACGTGCAAAAAGTAGGCCACAAACGGGGATGAAAACCGGGATGGGGACCAGTCGCGATAACGCTACCGGTATGACACCACTTAAAGTACTCGTACTAGTACAGTGCTGTACTCGAGTACAGTACGAGTACTCGGGTACATGAAATCGCTGTGCTAGTACCAGTACGGTACATCTGTGCGTGCTGCATCATGCCGATGCAAGTACAACTTCATCCCCTATCAGGTGGAATCAAGGCCGTGAAAATTTCTCGGTATACTTCTGCAATTTGCAGAGCCAAAACCGTGGCCAGGGAAGACCGGCGGTGGTTCCATAATAAGCTCTGCAGGCCTCAAAATGGCCAAGGATAGCCCTTCTTCCCATTCTACTCGAGTACCACTCAAGCCCCCGGAAAGAAGGACAATAATTATAGCATCCTAGTCAACATCAGTCTCTTTATCCTTAAAAGGATCCAACTGAGTCCTCACAGCGTGTGCTATTATGCCTCAATGCTTAATTCGTACAATTGGGTCGAATTGGGGTTCCGACGAGGTATGGCTGTGTTTTGTTCCTGGGAGAGGTGAACACTGGATGGGAAAATCTTTTAGCACTCCATGGCGATGACTCAGCGAACCTAAGCAGGTGTGGTTTTGTGCACAGCATTCCGTGTTCCTTCAAAACAGCCATACCAAAATTGGTTCGTGTACGGTACTAGTGTCTTAAGCTACTTGTAGCAAAACCTCTGTTTTTGTCACACGGCCAACCCCTCCCCCGCTGGTTCGTAATGCTGTGGCCCAGTCTTGAAACCCAGCCTCTTGTAAATCTGCCAACAAGGAATATAATACTAACAGTGGCCGTGCGTACGAGTACCGGTAGTACTTCTCTCGATCCCCCCAGGTCATACTGTAACCCAATCGTTTGGACTGTTCAGACTCGCGCTACTGATGCTTAGCCAAGTGAGCTACTTGAGTTGACAAAAACTACGGATTGAGAACTTACAGGGCAAAGCAGGATAGTTAGGATACTGGTACTCCTACTTCCCCACGATTACTGCAGGGACCCCTTGGTAACTACCGATGGGCACAGCGAGCTCCTTCCTTGGTGGAGGCCCTCGTATTCTGCACGACAAATACCGGTATCCCACCCACTGTAATAATTGGGGACGTCGTGCCTTGCATACGCTCAGACAAGCTATCTGTTGGATACGGTAGCCGGGTTGGTTATTTTTATACCGGCACTATACCGTACAGTACTCGTACTCCTATCCTGAGTTTGTGGGCAATACCGGAACGCTGCCTTCTCCAGAGTGCGGTGGCACTGAAAGATGTTTCTTGCTCCCGTCCTGAAACCTTCCAAGCGAGACCATCTCTTGCTTAGAAATGATATCCCGCGATCTCGGGTACCATCCCAGAGTAACCAATGTTGTGGATACAGTACTGTACCTTCTCTGCAGGGGCATTCCGCTCTTAAGGGAATTATGAAAGCTCCAACACACCAGTTTTTTTGTTAGGGGGGGATCTTGGCTGTCGATACTTCCGCTATTAGTCAGCAATGTAGGTACGCTATCATTAGTGCTTTGCAGAACCCTACAATTCTTTGGTTCCACTGCCCGGGGCCCGGAACTGTGAGGTTGATAACAGTAGGTGCAGCATCCATTGTATCGCGCAAAGTATTGGCCTTAATTGCTAGACAGCCATGATAGTATGTGAGAGGTTTCTGATGCATTTAACCGTCATTCGTTTGAATCATTTTGGTCACTGGGCGGCAGCCCTCCTACACATGACCAGCAGTTTTGGATCGCAGTCCAACCGGACTCTTCTCGTGAAATCTCGTGAAATCCACCATCTCCATCCAGCCGCCTGTCATTCCACTCTGGGTTTAGTTTGGCAGGTTAACAGGATTGCGAATATGGGTTATGATAGCAAGATCCGACAGAGCTACCCGGCCGATCTTTTGGCCGTGCTATCATATATCAGGAAGACGCTAATCCTTTTCGGTAATGGGTGGGGAACTGACAGAGAGAGTGGATTTCACGAGATTTTACTGTATGTTGTTTTTTCTTTGTTGCTGCATACCGTGCCGCGCCGCGGTCTCGGGCGGCTTGGAGCCCGCTCCCCTGTCTTGAGGACGGATGGGGTGTGGTTGCGGCGGTGGTGGATACTCAAGTACTTGAATAGATGGGATGTCCGAGTACCACAGTAGCTATTAGCGGCATGGCCTTCCTTTGACCACAGTTACTTCCTACCCATGATACAAGTAACTTATATCTAGTTGTTATTGAATGCCGGTGGTTACTCCTGGTGCGCGCCCTGGCTCCAAAGCCGTGAGTCTTTTGGCATTTCATCATACACCAAAAATGTGCGGCCCCATGTCCAGAAATCTCTACTTGATCACTTTGACGGGAAAAAAAATGAAGCTTGCTAGGTTGTCTGGAATCATAATATGGAGTTTGTTTTGGTGAACAATGGGCAAACTCTAACCGTGGGTTTTGTGATTGAAAGGCCGAGAGAATTAGGCGGGAAGAGGGTATCATACCTTGAAGTTTATTAGTTTCCCATGCGAATGGTTCCTTTCAACCCCCACTAGAAGAAAACGTCCAAACTAAATTACCAACAGTCATAGGAGGGTGACAAATATCATGCAATTTTTACTGGAAAAACCCGAGCAGTTATGAAGCCCGTGGTGCTCGTACTGTATATGCACGTCCTATGTAACTGCTCTTGGCTTTTGTGTTCTCAAGTAATCGGGCTGTGCTAGTCCAGTACACACTGGTGTGGTGTCTACTAGAAAGTGATATATGGTTCCTTGTGCTACTCTGATACGGTACTATGCTCATACATTTGGGACACCGCAGCTCGCTCACCCAGCAGAGTTAGGACTACAGGTTCTAAACACGCCCATCCGTATTGTATTGGGCATTATTACGAGGCCTCTTATATACGAAGCTATGAAGAGTACGGTACGTTGGGGAAACCCTCCGCGTTCGTACTTATTTATCACAAGTATCATATCCCGTTTTCATAGTTACAAAGGACTCTGGCAAACATTTAAGTTGGCTCTGCCTCTACTGCCAGTAATTACCGTCAAATTAACATTAGAATATAAGTTAGGAAATATCAGCCTTGAGGGATGTGAGGGTACAGTGATGGAAGATAACCGCTCAGGCTGCGCGCGGAATACCGGTAAAACTTAAGAAGCAGGTCTGTGGTGGTAGTGAGTATGATAAAGTGCATGCGGGGGAGTCTGGTAAAGTCGGCCGGGACCAGAACAGACTCCAATGCTGTATCATTTCAGATCTCGGGGGGGTCATGTTTGTCACATGTCCACTCAGGCCGGCCCTCCAGTGCCGGTATTTCACTGTTCAGTTCATGGTTGGGGAAAATCCGTTCAGGACCCGAATGGATCTTACTGGAATGGCTGGTGTCGGTACTCGGTTCCCGTTGCAGTATGTGCCAGTAACCGTCATCTTTGCAACTGCTCGGTAGGACATCATTGACAAAGACATTTGGAGAAATGGTGAAAATATCTTGCATCAATTCGGATTGTTTCACAGGTGAAAGATATGGTACATCCGACCGGCGCTGATAGCCATGTTCACCGCTCTCGAGGTTTGTATCTGAGTGCAGTGGGGGATGCAGCCGAGAAAAGCCGATTTGAGGAGTTTGCTTCCTTTGGGAAGGACGGGAGCCATTGGTGTGGCATATCGATGGCTGATTGGAGGGAACATTTGAAGCTGATTCCCTTTGCCGACTGCACGAGTGAGTTGTCTGACCGAGGGTAGGGGCGTCGGTTAGCCACACTTCCCTACTCGGGTATCAGCGCCACAAATCACTCTCTTCACGAGCCTCAAGCCTCATGCGCGCCATAGAATTTTTTGGCGGAGGGGTGACCTCAACTCCAAAAGATTCCTTTCTATCCTTAACCGCTTTCCCGTGCCTACTACTATCCTCTCTATCCTACCCTTCAGATTCATTTCGACGGCGATAGTGAACCCCTTTGCAATCTTTTTTTTCTCCACCCATTTCCCTCGCTCCCTATACTGTGATTTCTCCGCTGAATTGTCACAATCGTTCCCGAGTCGCCGCCCTCTTGGAATGTCATGGCCTCTAATACCGGTCATGGCAGCTCCCCTTCAATAGTGGACCGTCCCAGAACCGAAGAAGGTGACGCAACAATTATAAGTAATGCATTGACCAGTGTTGCAGTTAGTTGTTTCTTTTCCATTCTCCATTCCTGACTGTAATTCCATATCCTAGCCGATAATTGTCTAACTTTTCAACCCTCCGTCCCTTTTCTTCTGGAGCTTTAGAGTCAAAATATTTCGGCCTTCGGTCGTACCGTCACTGCCACTGCTGGAACTCTCTTTACAGATCCAGCTGCTCCACCTCAGCACTATGCCGCCGCGATGTCCGATATCTCCAAGCAGTTATCGCATCGCCCCTCTCTCCAGCGTCGCGTATTTTCGTTTAACAAACGTTCACCAACCGAGCTTGTGCGGTCGAAACTGTCTACCGCCGAGATACAATATCGAGCGTTAACCTATTTACCGGATGAACTGCTCAGGAATATTCCCGACAATGAAAATTCCTATTCCCTCTTCCAGGGCTTTCAGGCCTCCATGCCTGAGGAGCACCAGAAAGTGGGTAAGAACCATCCGCGCAAGGGCTCGAAGAACAAGCTCTTGGAAGGCATCAATGGAGGCGAGCCGGACACACCCCTTGGGAATCTCAAGCGTGAAAAGTCCACTATGGCACGGCAGCTCGAGATGTTGAGTATCAGGAAAAATATGGCATCGTCGGAAATCAGGGAGATAGATATGAAGATATCAAACTTAAATCAAATGCGGAACATCGTCCTGGCCCGATTGGCAAAATTGGAGCAGGACGAGGCAGAAGCAGAGCACGAGAGTATTCTACGACCCTCCCCCAAGAAAATAGCACAGTGCGATATTAGTAAGAATAATATACTTGCTGTCATTCGTTGCTAACTTCGCGCACAGTATTGGTTCTAGAAAATAAGATCGAAGACCTCCAAGAAGAGCTCGACGAGGAAAATCATCATTCCACCGATCCCGAATCCGACAACCGCTCTGAAGATTCTACCTTTATGTCTGAATCCATTTATGGTAAACTCAACACGCCCAAGTCACGGAAACGCAAATCATCTCGCCGCATATCAATGCCCGTTCTTCACGAACATTTGGAACCCGGTCAAAATATCAAGGAAATCCAGACACATGCAGACAGCATCACAGGTTTGGATTTTGATGCGCCATTCGGCACATTGGTGACTGCTGCATTCGACGATACTGTAAGAGCTTGGGACATGAACACTGGACGATGCATGGGGCTACTCGAAGGCCACCAAGCCTCCGTGCGATGCCTGCAGGTTGAGGACAATATGGTTGCTACTGGATCTGTGGATGCATCTATCCGTCTTTGGGATTTGTCTCGTGCCGAAAGTTACAAGTTTACCCCTCCGTCCACGAGCTCGTCGATTAACAAACGCGCTTCTTCCGCTTCTTCCACCCATGAGGATGAGGACGAGGCTGAAAGTGAAGCTTTACCGTTGGCTCAAGAATTTACTCTCCCATCGCTATCCGAATGTTATGTTTTCTCCCTTGATTCTCACGTTGACGAGGTTACCGCTCTCTATTTCCAGGGTGACACATTGGTTTCTGGTAGTGCAGACAAGACTTTGAGGCAGTGGGACCTCGTCAAGGGAAGGTGCGTCCAGACACTGGATGTGCTTTGGGCTGCGGCTCAGAGTAATATGGATGAGGGCAAATGGAGAAATGGAACAAGGAGTGCTGGTGGTGTCAGTGGGGTTGAGGGGGATTTTGTCGGTGCTCTGCAATGCTTCGATGCCGCTCTTGCTTGCGGGACTGCAGATGGAATGGTCAGGCTGTGGGACTGTAAGTTTATCCGGTTGGGTTCTGCAGGAGGGTCATAAGGGGGAATACTGATTCGATGACTTTCAATCAGTGAGGAGCGGACAAGTACACCGGTCGCTCGTTGGCCATACCGGGCCAGTCACGTGTCTCCAGTTCGATGATCTGCATCTTGTCACTGGATCTCTTGACCGAAGTATCCGGGTTTGTCGAACCTTGTCACCTATCTTCTGTGCTTCCTGCTAACTTTATCCTTGCAGATTTGGGATCTCCGAACCGGCTCGATATTTGACGCCTTTGGATTTGACAACCCTATTACAAGTATGCAATTTGACTCCCGACGCATTGTTTCAGCAGCCGGCGAAACTGTCGCCAAAATCTACGACAAGGCCGATGGCCGCCACTGGGACTGCGGAGCTGTAGGTGTTGACGCCGCGATCGTGGATAGGGTTAGAGTCAATGACGGTTATCTGGTACAAGGAAGGCGAAACGGGACCGTGGGAATATGGGCTTGCTGAAAGAAAAAAAGAAAGGAAAGGAGAAGCAAAACTCTGAAAAAAATATTTTGACGAGATCATTGCGAGCGAGAGAGGGAAAAACATGAAAAGAAAATAATATCTGCTTGGTATCCTCAGCATGTGAAGTTTTGTTGGATACCTGTTTTTTTGTCTTTTTTTTTTTCATTTCCCTTTGCAAACTCATTACAACTCCCATCCGGTCCAATTAGGTTCTTTTTCTCACTACCTCTCTTTGTCGCTTTCTCTTGGAAATGTTCTGGCGTTCGGAGGAAGTAAAGGAGAACATGGCATGGCCTTGGCTAGCTTCCGTTTGCTATGTTGGCCACGCTGTGTGACGCAAAGACGTTGACGGGGGAGGCACGGTGTGCGGGTATGATATGATATTCTATGACACTATGACACTATGATGATTTGTACGGGTACGGGTATGGGTTCGGCGGATCGGTACTGGTGGGATCGCAGGCAGGAAATATGGGACGTGATAGAGCGAGCTTCTTTCTATTTTCCTGTCACTGTTCATTTCCTGATTTGGTTTCGTTTCATTCATGTAACTTCAGTTTTTCCTCTTGTCAAACTTGTGTATGTGCTGGGTTAGACGGGGCTTGAACTAGCAGGAAATGGCAATACAGCACGCGTGTTCCGAGGATGGTGTTCGTGGTTCGTGATTGCCATGGGGGTGGCGGTGTACAGTACTATACTTGCATGGTTAATTTAACACCCTATTATTCCACAGTAGCATATAAACTGTCTTTCACCCGCTCTGCCACCATCAACACTGCCCGGTCAACCGAATGGATAAGCTAGACGAGTGATATTCTATGACTAGTTTTTTATTTTTATTCTGGGTGAATATTCAGACGAGAGGTGTGATGCCTTTTATTTTTTTTTCCCTCCTTCCTTCCTTTTCTGAAAGGAAGGGAGGAAGGAAGGAAGGAAGGGAGTTTCCCGTTCTGCTTTTAAAAGTTGTATCTATGGGGTGTGTGTCCTAGCTCTACCATAATTATAATTATTATTATAGCAAATATCAAACATAGTCCAGTGAAAAAGGGTAAGGCGAGTGACCGCGTAGACTAACGGTCGTGCTCTATATTACATCATGCAAAGGAAGGAAGGATGTACGATATCGTAAGGTTTTCCGCTAGTGGAAATGATCCTTCTTGGGCGTTTTGATGGCTTTCGGGTGTCATGGTTATTTAGGCTTTACGATGCACTGGGGGGGGGGGGGGAGGGGAGGGAGCTCAGCCTGCGTGATACCGATACTGCCCTGCGTGATACAGGTATGATATGATACTTTGCTCGAGCGCATTATCGTACGGCGGCTGAGAGGAAGGGGGGGGCTCGGGGCTGGTCTTGTTGTGCCTGGGTGGTGTGGTGTTATCATACTGGTATGATGTGATACATCTCTCGGCACTGGACTGCGTGTACAGTATATCGCTGGGCGATTTTATGGTAGTCCGTCGTGTGATATATAGAAACAATCTCACACGGGTGCACCCGGCGATAACATGGTCAACCAAACAACTGCGGGAGTTGAGAGGCTGCCGGTAACTTACTCAAATACTCTATCGTACCTGCAGTACAGGGCAAGCGCCGTGGTCTGACTATGATGACTTGACCAAGCAGTAAACCACCCCCCGTGGAGCCCCCCCGCAGGGCATCAATGCATTTCAACAATAATTTGATAATCTCACTCTCTCTAACTGTTATGGAATTATGCTAAAAAAGTGAAAGAAGTGAGAATGGTACAAGTACAGATACTCAGCGCTTCTGCAATCTGCAGCCCAAATCAAATTCCAAGGTAGGAAAAAGGAGAAACTTATGACAAGACACGTAAAGATTAGAACACGTTGAAAGAGTATTTCTATCTTAACCAAGATGAGACGAGTCAGCAGCTGCGCCCTACCGGTACAGTACTATCGTATGGTATCATATACAGAAAAGAACATTTGCAAAAAAAAGAAAAACAGACTCCCGCTACGCAATCATAATGTTGTACCACATGCATATGTAGCGAGCATGCTGCTATTCCATACTGTTCCCCATACAAAAGAAGGGTGGAAGAAGAAGAGAAAAAGAATGAAGATGAATGCTCCCAGGTAATGCCTGCCATTATGCATACTGGGAAGAGATGATGTGAGGGAAAGTAAAGGGAGTGCGCCAAATTCATAACTAAATCAGATCAAACCAAGATAGGAATAATACCAAGACATAAAGCACTACCGCCACCACGCATGCTAGTAAATAATTCGAATGAAGAGTAGTGAGTAATAGTGATAATCAACCAACCAAATCAGTAATGAAAAGACTAAAGAGTGCGAAAGAATACACAAACTCTCCACAATCAGCAATCAAAAACAGAAAAACAAACTCTATACAGGCCCCCAAGCTCCTGTTCCAACACAGGAACTCCTACCACTACCCACACTGCTAGCAACATCCCAATAAAACCTTCCTCTACTCATGGAACTCCCAGAACCTCCTCCTCCTACTCCCCCACTCCTACTACTACGCTTTCCAGTCATCATCCTCACACCCGATTGACTCGCACACGTACTCCCCGAGCGCAGTCCTCCTCCCCCCACCGTCCTTTTGCACTGGTAGACAACCCTCGCCCCCGGAATAAGCGGGTGTGTAATCCCCGTAGTAGACTCGGCCGAGGCGGTATTTGCAGGAGTGGGGGAGGAGGAGGAGGAGGAGGAAAAGCGGGACTTTAGGAAAGAGAAGAACACACGAACGCCGAGTTCTTGCTCCCAGTATTCCTTGCGTTTGGCGGCTTCGACCTTTGCGGCTTTCTCTTCCTGCAGGGATTCCTCGATGCCCCAAAGTGTTGGGTGGTGGGGGGATTGTTGGAGGGGAGGGGGAAGTTCTGTGGCGAATTGGTAGTGTGGGATAGAGGAAGTGGAGGTTGTCGACCGGGAGCGGGGCTGTGGAATGGGGGTGGGGTCTTCTTGCTGACATTGTTGGGTGGGGGGAGGTGGGAACGGTTGTGGAGTTTTATCTCCATCGTCGTTAACGTCGGGCAATCCATCTTGAGACTTCACCTTCCCTGCGATGGTGCTAAACGCTCGCCCGTCAGACGCAGGGTGGAGAGTATATTGATTGACCATAACTCCAAGCTCCCTCGCTATCCGATTCAGCAGCCTCTCTTCCGCTTCCGACCCCAGTCGGCCGCCTTCCGCTAAAAAAGAAGCCGTCGCTTCTTCCGGTAGTGCTTCCCCGAAAATCACCTGCAGCAGGTCATCATCTATGCCCATGATATCCCTTATGAACCTCCTTGTGATTCTTCTCCACAGCGTTTCCTCGTGCGCACCGCAATGAGTTACTACCGTCTCGGCATCACTGCTGCTCTGGGTAGGGGTAGAAGTGCCCTTCTCGGCCTCTTTCACTTCGGTCTCTGGACCTTTGATGTTCATGGTTGCTTCATCCTCATCCTCATCCCCGAGGTCACCGCCCCGTATGGAACCGCTGAAAAGTGAGGTCCTCCTCCGGCTAGCTCTCTGGATCTCATCTAGTAATGCCTGCCGTTGATCCTCCCGCCATTTCTGTATTCTGGTATTGATGTCGTTAGATGTGCCTTTCCCCGCTGCCACAATCTTCAACGACTCTTCCAAACTTCTCAGACCCGAGATGACCCCAGGCGAAGACGGGAACGTCCCGAGTCCGTCGTGCATGGGGAGCATGACCGGCCCCTCATTACCAAAATCCCGGAAGGGCTGCAAAGAATCGGTCTCGGTTTCATACGATCCCTCTTCCTCTTCCTCTTCCTCCTCTTCAAATTCCACCTCATCCCCCAAATCAGTGAAACCCCCGGAATACCCCTGTCGTATCACCCTCGGGGAACGAACCGACCCGACACTCAGGAGGTCGCTAGCCCGGGACAGAGCATGGGTCCCGGTTACCGTAGTCGTTGTTCCGCCAGCACTGGAGGGTGAGAAAACCACCCACTCGTCGGCGTCAGCCTCGATAGTGGGGGTGTGGGAGACAGCCGGGGACCCGAGAAGCGAGGGGCTATCTAGCCGGCGTTGGTCGTCATCATGAGTTGGGACGGATTGCAGGGTCAACCGTTGACGGGCGGTCGCTGGGGAGCGGAATGCCATGGTCTCTAAAAGGAAGGGGGGAAAAAGATGAAGGAAAAACAGTTATTGATGGTGGCGATGATCTTTGGAAAGAGATTGAGAGGGAGGAAAGAGATGAGGAGGTGAGGAAGGTGTATAGATATTTCTTCGAGCAAACACTGTCTAAGTGAGATCCAGTGCCCACACTGCACACCACCTTGCTCGTGCAATACAACACCCTGCCCCTCCCTCCTCCTGCTCTGTCCTGCAGGTGTGTGGGGTGTGGGCCGTAAGATGCAGAAGGCAAAGTGTCACAAGAAGGCAGGGCAGAGCAGGGGAGGAGGAAAAGGGAATAGAGTACTGTACCAGCACTGTTGCAGAAAGAGCTGCGAGGAGGAGGGAGAGGGGGAAGAGGAAGGGGGCCCTCCCCTTCGAGAGGCAGGGTGCGAGGGAAGTGATGGGTGACGCGACCGCTGTTCAAACAGCTCTGGTTGGCGGGAAAGCGATAACATTCAAAAGTGGAAAGTGGATGAGAGAAAAGGGAGCCAGGAGAAGGAATGAAGTGAAGGAAATAAAATAGAAAACCCCCGGAAAAAGAAGCATTGATAGGGCTCAGTGGACGCCCAATAATATAATAGCACACGGGGCACAAACTCTCACTCAGACTGGAGAACACTGCACCAAACGACACAGTGCACCAGTGGAAAAGCGGACAGAAGCAAAATTCTTGAGGAAATGTTACGGTATTGAGTCCACAGCATATACGCCTCCCCGCATGTCTCCGCTCCAATGATTGACTGTAGACTATTTTCCTTTCCCCACCAGTTGGGCTCCAAACGATCCCAGGGATGATATGAAAAGGTAAAGCTCTTATCATACGAGTGGCAGGCTTTAACAATAAAGCCAAAAGGAAGCGCCGCAACCCCAGGTCAAGTTTATCCAAGAAGGCAAGGACCGGGCATGGCTTGCCCAAACACGGCGCCTTGACGTCTGCGTCTGCGGGGTTTCGTGGGGAGGAATGCTAAGGGGAGAGGATATACGGTACTGTAATCTGAGGCCCTCTATTCCACGGTACTTGCAGGACTCGAGTGCCGGTATGATATCTCAGAAAGCGCCCTTCCACTTCCCCAACTTACCGTAACCAAGATATCGTGTGGCATCACCCGACTCACGATACTGTGCAAGCACGGCACGATACCTGTGCTCTCGATGGCGAGAAAGAGATCCCACCCCCACCGAGATGGGCAAGCGGAAGAGGATCAGCAGTTACGAGTAGGGTGCCGGTATGATACTCGAGTACCAGGCTGGAGCTTCACCTGCCGTACGTACTCGTACCCTCCACTCCACTCCATCCCCCCGACAAGGAGGGGAAGAAGAAAAGAAAAAAAAAGATCTCAGATCGCCTCTCAAACGGCCAAAGAATTAATTACCGTAATGGGAAAAATGGCCCACTCGACGACACCCCTTCCATTCCATCACACCAAACCAAAATACCCTGACAAAAAAAAAAAAAGTCACACATCACGTGGAGAAATTGTATCCATTCAGTCATGATGCCAATCGCCCGTGGAGAAAAATGATGCGCTGCATTTTTTTTCTGTGATGCTAAAAACCATGGCAGACAAGGTGCCAGCAAGCTTTTTGCAAGCAGGTTCACCCCTCCTCTGCGTGCCACCTCTTCTCTGGGCAGGCTACCGGTATCGTAGCCTATTGTCCTCTTCCCCACCTGACCATGAATACTGCACTGGTACTGTGTGAGTACAAGTATTTCATAGGGTGCTTACTGTACCGTAAGCTTGTATCTTATATTCTCCCCACACAGCACCTGTCAACATCACGACACCGCTAAGCTATGTGTCGAGTTGACGCCTCGGGGATGGAACCGAACCCCACTCCATCTGCGGCGGAAACGAGGGGAACGAGGGGAACGATCATTAAAGACGGAAAAACTAACTTGTAACCATCTCCCCAGCCCTACCGCCATCGCCGCCGCCGCCACAACCTGCGTTACCGGAGCACCGGTAGTGCCAGAAGTCGTGGGGGGGGGATGCGAGTGACCACCCCCTCACTTTTACCTATTCCATCAGCTGCGGGCGCTCAACTGCCGTAGATAGACTACCGGTATTGGGTATTTCGAAGGCTAACCCGGGAACCAAGATGAACTCAACACTGTAACGAGGGTGGGGCACCGGCACTGTGCTCTCATACGAGTCGCTCCTATGTGCAGCCGGAGCTACACCCCCCACGCCCCCTACCACCTCCCATACCAGCCAGCTTAGCCCTTAGTCTACTCTAGTACCGTACACACGTACTGGCAGAATGCAGTACTATATAAACTATTAGGGAGAGCAGCCTACGAGTATAGGCAAGTCAGCTTGCTATCACCGCCCATGTGAATTGATGGACGAGCAAATTGATGAATGTGTGGATATACCGCATTTTTTGGTTTAAACCGAAATCACGCTAGACGAGAAGAGTGAAATTTGACGAGCTTGCCACAAGGTGAATCCGGTAACCATAACAGAGATATGAGGTAATGTATTTTAAAATCAACCTCAAGGCTATCAGGCCATCCATCTTTCTGTAAAGTGAACAGACCGCAAAATATCCAAAATGAATACCAACGACCAGTCAATCCAAGTGATCCTAAAGCACAAGTACGAGTTTTAGAGAGCTTGGTACAGGGCAGAGATCAAAGTGCTGTGATAGTACGAGAAGTATATGAATGAATATGAAATAAAAATGAGAAAGAACTTACAAAGAACAGCAGACAGGGAAGACACGGCCGGTATGTCGACCAAAGTCAATTTTAGAAAGAGATAACTCCACGTTTGCAAAACCTAGGACCAGAAATCAGCACTGATATTCAAGGGAGTTTAAAATCATGGTTTTATGCTGGTGGACACAGCATAAAATTGAACAAAAGCAAACTGTCAAACAAATAAAATTCACAGAATAGGTAACCACTACTTGCCATTATACAATAATCAAAATTTGAACCGCATCAATGTCCTTGTATGGGATCAAATTTTATACTCGCTTAGGTTGCTGCCCTTTGATAGTCTCTCTAGGGCCTGCCACGTGTGCTAGTTTAATTTTAGCGCGATTTCGAGTTAAACCAAAGAATGCGGTAATACGTGGAAGCAAACCCCCCCCCCTCCCTCCTTCTTTATGCAAAAACAACGATATATGAGTAAACATAGCCGATTGGAACTATCATATCCAAACTAGAGCCTCAGACGGGGACAATTGTCACTCTTCGCTCATCATATCATATGGCTTCAAGTCTCACGCTTGCTGTAGATTCCCAGTTTTCCCCGCTGGCTTGTACGAGTAGTGCTCACAACCCGTACTCGAGTACCGTAAGAACTCAAATACAAGAGAAATGTGCTAGGACGTTGGAATTCCCCTTCTCGACAAAGCGTGGGAAAAACACCGCAAACTCAGCCCTCAGCTAAGACAAAACAAAAGGAATATACACGGCGCCATACTAGGAGAGGCAACTGCAACGTCCTAGCACATTTCTCTTGTATTCGAGTTTTTACGGTAGACTATCATACCGGTACAGTGCGCACTGATACCCAGGCGAGCAAACCGAAAGTACAGTACCGGTACAGGTAAGTTCGTTCTACTCCATCCGGGACTCCAGAAACTGCCATTACCGGTACCCACAACGGCCGTGCAAGTCGATTCACACCACTATACCCACCCACAAAGAGGAAAGTATTATATATATATCCTCGTTGCCGTGGCGATGATGTTCAAACAGACCCGGCAAACCGTCCCCGATATCATTTCCTCATACCCGTACTATAAATCATATCATACCCTGCAGTGTCTCTATGATATCATCATGCCCGGAGTATCATAGCGAATCCACCGTAGGAAATAGGAATAGAAAAAATAAAATAAAAAAGAGTCAAGTATGATAAATACTCGTATGATAAATATGGGCAATACTCAGCCCGGCACAGTACTGTACTCGTACAAGTGAACCGGTAGACTACGATATCATAATTAGACCAAGCAGCACTAGCACCAGCACCAGCACAAGCAGGAATCAATCGATCGATCAATCAATCACAATCAAGACAGAAATAATTAAAAAATTGAGCGATAGACACGAAAGACTCGGGTACTCCACCACCACAACCCATGAAGTTGGAAAAGGGGGGGGGGGGGGGAAAGGAGGAGCCCAAATTAATTTTTTTATACTGTGCCCTTTGGGTATGATTATTATACTCCTCGTCCGTTCCGGAGACGCACAAGTGCGGCAGTCCTAGTACCCGCACAGTGATTACCCCACAAGGTGCCCAGTCGGATGATAGCGCACATTCGATCACCCGTACCGCAGCTTACGGTTACGGTCCCCGACGCTATGGGCGGGTTGGAGTGGTGAGCGAGTCCGATTCGGCCTGGTCGCTGGACCATCTGATTATCGAGCCTCGGTATCGAGGATAACGTGATGCTAACTTAGTTGTAACTTAGGGTCGTAAAGTCACGCACCGCTCTACGATATCTGAACGGGGGGGGAAGTTTCCCGAGTACCTTGTTGTGATAACCTTCCTGCCTATAATACGGTAATTTACGTATGCTACATAACGCGATACGGTATGGTACCTAGCTACAATATGAATAGGACAAAGCTAAGCGGGAAGCGCACGATTGGAAACCTGCCCCGAGCCTGACCCGACACCCTCCTATCATACCTACACGAAGGCATTCGAGGAGCATAGAGCCGAGGCAACCCAATCTCGCTCGCCCTCACACGGCAACATAAACAGCACCACAGTTGACCGAAACTTGTTACTCGGCTGCATTCCCCATATACACTACACTGTACATGTTCTCCTGCGTATGAATGAAATATTTGACATAGAGCTCAGCAAGTATCCTCCTACCCCAGATAACCCCTCCCAACCTTCCTCCGCCCCAACGAGAATTAAATAATAAACCACAAAGCCAAACCGATTTTAAAAGGATAAAGAGGAAGGAAAACCCAAACTCACGCCTTGCGTGACCGATATAAGAGGGGGAAAAAATGAAATAATAATAAGAGAGAAGAGAAACCCCATGAATTGACACAACGTGAAAGAGAAAGAGGGGGAAAATATATAGGAAAAAAAAAAAAAGAAACAGATGGAAACCGCTTCTTTATACCGTTACAAGGCGTTTATAGGTTGCCGACCAGTCACCTTCCATCAAGACAATCACTAGCCAATCCATCCACCTGTTCCGTTGGCCCGCTTGTGTGCATAACGCTCCGAGTTATGTTTGAAAGGGAAAAAAAAAAAAAGGTACAGAATAGATTGTCCATCACATCACGTTCTCGTCTCATCTTACCTCCACCAGCAGCCAATCAATCAAAGCACAAACTTGACGCTTGCACAAGACTTATAATGTGCCATTGGTAAGTTTTGGGGGAATGCCAGCGAGAATGGAAAATTGCCCGCCAGCATCAGAGTAAACCATCTCGATACCTCTGGTAGCTGTATTTTCGATTTTCGTGGGGCATTTGATCTCATCCTCGGCCTCAGGACCGAGGCCGGTCTGATAACTGCCGCCAAAGCCCCAAGAGTATGCTTGTCCCTCTGTCGAGATGGCGATATTGTGGTGTGTGCCGCAGCCAATGAAGGAGAACTTGATACTAGGGACTGCATGTGGGGTCGAGAGGTACCGAGGCTTGCCAGATACATCACGGACGACGTCTTCCGCCGGGAGCGTCTCTGGGTCCAAACCGAGTTGTCCACCGTCAAGACGGCCCCAAACCAGAAGTTCACCATCCTCAGTCACGGCGGCTGAGTGATGTTCTCCAGCGGATATCTGAACAATCTTGTACTTTGTAAGGCCCTGGACAACAGTGGGAACGGGAATCACGGTGTTGTCTTCCCCAGCGTGCTGAGGGTCATATATCCCGCATTGGCCAAATTGATTGAGGCCCCACGCCCAGACCCTCCCGTCTTGGGTAATTGCAAAGGAGTGATAGGAACCGGTAGCGACGTACTTGACCTGACGCCGAGGAAGACCGAACTCGCGAGGAATGAGCCCATTGAGGCGGGTTCTCTCGACGACACGTCTCCCGAGCTGGAATTGCTGACCATTGCCCCATGCGTAGACGTTTCCTTCCCTCGTAAGTCCGAGGACGTGATCGGTACCGACACTAACCTGAACAATGTTCTTGAGAGTTGGTAGCAAGACGGGGACGCTCTGTATACGGGTCTTCTCATTGAATCCAAGAATACCGTCGGAGCACTAAACAGAAATCAGCAAAATCGTAAACCCAAATGAAGAACTGATCACAGACCCTAAATGTTCCCCATCCATAAACCTTGCCGGTGTCCGTAACAGCGATCGAAATGCTATCACCGGCAGCAATGTTCGTGATCACAGTCCCCTCTGGAAAGGTGGTAATGAGCATTGGCGTGCTCTCCAGTGGATTCAGAGGCTCTTCGCCGTCGCTGTCGCTGTCGCTATCGCCATCGGAACCCACATCTCTCATCGGAGGAGTATACTTTGTTTCCCTCCCAAGAGCGTACTGATCATTGACACCCCACGAGTAAACTTTCCCCTCGTGCGACAAAGCCAAACCGTGCATACCGCCAATCGCAACTGCGACAATTCCAACCTTTTCAGGGAGAAGATGGGCATTCAATCTAGGACGCTTGACAACCTTTGCGTTAATCTCCGGTCCCAGACCCAACTCGGCATTATCGCCAGTACCGAACGCGTAAATATTCAGTCGCTGGATAGGGACAGAAGTTATCTTAGAGCCTGCAAGCGCCTTAGCACCAACACGACTCTTCTTGCGGGCTGGTTCGACCGATTTCTCTCCCTTGGCCCCCTCAACCGTCGCGGTCTCCTCAATTTCCTTTAGCCCCTCATTCCCCATTTCCTTTTCTCTTTCCCTCGCCTTCTCCTTCTGTTTCTTCCCCTTCGTAGCCTTTACCTCTTCTACTTGTTCCTCATCTGCAACTTTCTTCTCAGCAGCTGCAGCAGCCGCCTTCTTAGCCTTTGATACAGGAGCGGCCTTAGGTGGCGAAGAGGGGTTTGCCTTTCCAGTGACCTTCTTTGCAGCCTTTGTGGTTGCAGCGGAGGTATGCTGAACGGCGGTAGTCCCGGTGCCGGGAGACTTCAAGACTTTAGTAGTCTTCGTAGCTTTCGCAACCGTCTTTATCTTTGTCTTGGGCTCTGCTATTTTCCGTGTCCTGATGCCTTTGCGGATAACCAGAGTTACATCAGCCGCCCGTTCTCCTTCACTCTCGGGAGAACGATTGAAGGCATTTTCTACCACTTCAGCGGCTTTTCGCTTTGACACACGCGGTGGCATTTTGTAGGAGGAAATGGAGTAATGTGTTTTTCGAGGGTATCTTGTGGCAGTGGTGGTGGTGGTAGCGGTAGGAAAAATATTAGAAAAGGTAGATGATGATGAAGGTGCAGTTCGGGATAGTTGCAGGGAGAGAAGAAAAGGTGTTTGTTGGGAAGGGAAAGGATGTCGAGGTGCAACGAATGAGGGTGCGCGTAAGTGTCGGTTTCGTGGTCAAGGCATAAAGGGATGAGTGAACAACGGTAGAAGCGAGTATTGTTCAAGTGGCGGGGGAGGAAGAATAAAGGAAGGGGTGAAGCTGTGTGGAAGAGGATGGACAAAGGGAGGAAGGGAAGAGAATGGAGGAGGCAAAAACCGAATGGTCCGGTGGGTTGACGGGAAGAGAGAATAATAGGTGGGAGGGAAGGGGCCTGGTGGTGGTGGTGGTGGTGGTGGTGGTCAAGGGTATGTTGTTTTTTTTTGTCGTTGCGTTCCGGAGTCTTGTGTGATGGCGTCTGATGTGCAGTGAGTGAGTGAGTGGTGCGGTCCAAGCAGAGAGGAAGGAAGCCCAGCGGACCACGCCAGGCAGCTGTGAAAACTCCTATTGACCCTTTGCCCCGATTCATTCAATGCCGATCCACTCAACCCTCGCCCACATCACCCATTGAGCATATCATAGAATCCGGTATGATACGACACCCAATCCCAAGAGCACAATGCTCACCAACAACGCCGTCTGACCTCTGAGACCACGCGAAACTAAGGGCGGAAATAATAGCACAAGAAACGGTCCAGCATTCAAGAATCCCGATATTCTGAGGGGAAGAAATGATTAAATTAGGATGAAATAAGATACGAGTACTCTCGTCCGTGGACCCATGCCACAAACGTCAAGGCAAATAGTGTTTATCTACAAGGAGGGAAGTGAGCGTGTTTCTCGATCGTGGGCTCCCTGCTATCCAATTCTCGTGTGCCTCTCTTGCCTTTCACCAACGGAAGATGATTGGCGACATGCCTGAACCGCTCGCACTTTGCCTGCCCTTCCCCTCCGGCACCCATCCGACGAAGCACCGTAGCCCATCCATTTCCCCAACGCGGTACGGAAGGGGGAAAAGGGGAGGAGAAGAAGAAAAAAACAGCATTTTTTCTCCCGCTCTTCCAACTCTTCCTCAGGTGGACTGAACAGAACAATCTTCGGATGCTGCCGAGTGAGAAAGTTGACTTGGGACCTCGACAGCGATCAGCCTCCATGCGGCTCTGCGGATGGCAGTGCGAGGGTTAGGGCTCTAGCTAGGATGGGGTTTTCGGTTGGTTATGGGATCGCGAGTGACGCTTTGTGCGCTGTGCTCGATCGACTGACGAGCCGCGAAGAGATATTGGCATACGGTAGGTCATCTGAGAATTGAGCTCACCTTCGAGGATATTGATTGCAGTCATAGGGGGGTTCCATGAAACGAGGCTTGTATCATATCAAAATAATAAATCTAAGGCCCCCCCTTTCCATAGAATTATGGGGGGGAGTGCCGGTGCTGGTGCAGGTATCGTACCAGAACTAGTAGACTACCTTACCACCCTGAGGTATCGGTACGTAACCCTTCTATTGATCGACAGATAATCGTGCATGGTCTTGGATCGGGATGATGCGGTACTTGCGCCGCGTGATAACATGGTGGCACTCAGTTTGATGGGCCACCTGGCGTTGTGCATTCCAGTCAACCATACCGGGGCCAGCAGACCATGATAGGGAAGGGGCTGGGCTCAGGCAGGTCTCCCCGGCTCCCTTGAATGCTATCATATTATGATATTAGCGAGTGACCACCCGTGATGCCTCCTAAAAGACTATGTGTGCCTGAGGCTGAAAAATAAATTCAGTAAATAAAGGTTGCTATTAAGCACATTCAATCCATACGGAGAGAAGAAAGGATCAAGGCACAGCTCAGGATGACGCTATCATAGTTCCATCCCTCCTTCTCTTGAGATGGGTTGGTGCGGGTGCTCGCTCTAGTTCCGCCCACAAGCACCTATTATCCACCTCCCTCTCTCTCTTGTATTATTGGAGGAAGGGGCCGGGTAACCTCGCATGCGCCGGACCTTCCTAGCAATTGAAGCTACTTGGTACCGGTGTCCACTCGAGCACAAAATACCAAAACCAACCAACGGAATTCTACCGAATTACTTGTCTCCCCCCCCTCTCCTCTTCCCCTTCCTTTTCCATCGGAAAATCCATACTCTCATTTCGGGGAACTGGGATTAATCACCTGATCTTTCTTCTCTAGCTTTGGGGGACTATACCTGATAACTTGAGCTACGAAAACCCCTTAACGAAGCAATACAAGAATACGGGTAGTCATGAGTCTTGATACGCTTTCTTATGCTGCTCCTTCCAGGATCAAGGCTTTGATTCTACCCCTGGGGAGAATCAAGCGATCCAGATTTTCGTCGTTTGTTACCAGGCTACAGAGTTCAAATATCGTGCGGTTGGGAGATGTGACACCGGATTCAACGCCCAATCCAAGTACGTACACCCGGATTCTATTGCTCGGTTGTGGCTTGGGTTGGGGTTGGAGATAGCTAATTTAACCTTTCAGCATTGTTTAGTCCTCAAGGATTTCCGAGTGGGCAGTTAATTTACGACTTGACGATTTCTTTCGATAAGGAACATGAGTACTTGGAATCGTTTGAACCTCATCGGAGGACATACCTTATTATCGCGGTAGCGGACCATACCGAGAGTAATGACCTAGAAGCGCTTTCTCAACAACTGGGGGAATTGAAGTTTCTGGTAATCAACCTTGAAGTTTGGGACACAGTTGTTTTAGCTGAAAGAAATCTATCCAGTATCCGCGAGCTTTATATCATATATGCTTGGTCTTCGATTCGCCGCCTGTCCTACCCAATCCGAAGGAGTCACCGGGATCAGAAGGTTACAGCGAGGAACGACTGGTGTTTATACCTGTGCCGGTGAAGCGAGAGTCCAGATCTCCGTCTATGCGAACCATAATGTGTGACATCACCTCTATACTGCTTTCCGAATTGAGTGGGCTTGCAAGGGCCATCCAGGCATTCCCGACCATCGATTCTCCACTGTCTTCGGAGAACCAGGCGGCTAGTGCTTTGGGTGCGTGGGACCACAGAATGAGTATGCCGGTTGGATTGGGTACCAATTTATCCGTTGCTGGAAACACTGGAGTGGCGAGCAAGAGGGTCACTATGACGGGTTTCGGGAGTGCCAGTGTGAGCGAGAGGGCGAGGAATAAAGGGAAAGGTAGGGTGAATGTAGTTATAGCTTCGTTATACCTATTGGCCGGGAGAATACCAGATGCCCTAAAAGAGTGAGTCTTGACTCTGCGTTCGTTGAAATGTGGCTAATGTTTGTTTTGGAGGGTTTTAGGTTTGTGGAGGGTGGCAATGTTGCGAAGAGTAATAATGACCATTTGTGGCATGGGAAAGCACTCGAAGGAATTGGTATATGTTTGGCTATTCTTGTCCACCTGAAAGTGGATTTTCAGGTTTGTTCACCCTTGGTTATCATGCGATATCTTATTGATGTGGAGGTATAGATGCCGTTGATACCATATCCTACAGTTGAAGTTACTAAAGCCACAAAATCTTCACAATCAAACTCAAAGCCTGTAACAACGTCACCTGATCCTGGTGGGGCCACTGACGCTGCACTTTCGGCATCTCCGGCAAAGATCAATGAGCTTTTGGGGGAGTTGTTGGAGACCGTCCTTAATCTTTACACGCGTTCTGCAAACTTTGCAGGAGAGAGTATCCCACAAATATGTTTTTCAGAGACTATAATCAGGTTCAGTAAACTTCGGGCTACAACTTGTATTACTGGTGGCCTGAATGATGAATCTTTGGATCATATCATATTTGGAAAGCCATTACCTACAGGAAAGAATCTGAAAATCATACCATACAGGGCCGAGATTTCTTCACTGGTAATGAGGGGGTACCCATTCCCGCTGGAGTCATTGACGGTTCTTGATGCTACGCGGGTGTTAAGTGGGATAGCTAGTGTTTTGGGCGTGGTTGGGTCGAGGCGGAGAAAGGCTTTGGTGACAAGGGAATTGGTTAAGATATTGATACCCGGCTTGATTCAGGCAAGAGTTGTAGGCGCAGCTGAAGTCGGTGTTCATCCGGCTGCTGGATTAAGTGCTGTCAGTGGTGGCGCTCTGGGAGGCTCCCCATTGGATCTGGGAGAGGGTGATGCGGAGAGCGGCGTTATGGAGCTATTGGAAGATCTTTGCAGAGCTTATGGTGTGTTTCCTGGCAAAAAGGATAACGATAAATCGTCTGGCACTGCAGAGGGGAAGGAAAGTGGTGATGAGGGAATAACTTCATCTTTAGCCACTGCAGAGGTTATAGCTGAACAGGAGATACGGGCTTTCGGTTGGCCTGCCCTGAAAATTCATGTCTTGAGAAATTGTACGGCTCTCTGTGAAGCATTGCCGGATTTCCATGGCGTATTGAGATTTACTACTCAGCTGTTAAGAACTGCTGACGCCGATCTCACAAAAGAGGAACAAATAAGACTGTCCACGACAATTTCACGGACAATAGGCGCTGCGCGAAAGTTGGGTCTGCCAAATGTGGAGGCAGATTACTGGGATCAATTTCTATTGAGAGATGTGGAAGTAGTGGAGAATTCCATGTGGAGGCCACCAATATCACACTCTAAGAATGAGTTGATCGGTGCAGATTCAGACACGCCTCCATCGGCGCCAATTGAAGTCGATAAGAACCCATTCATCTACAACCCGTTTCTAAAGAAGGCGGAGGCGGCTATTGCCGAGCCGGTATTGGTTAAGGGCGAGGCGGCGGAGTTTCGGGTGACACTGCAGAACCCATTTGAGTTTGATATCGAGGTCGAGAGCGTCACATTGGATGCTACAGGAGTTGGACTAGACGTGCAAAAGGTTGGTGTTGTTATCAACCCGTACAGAACGTGCCAAGTTGCGGTCCATGCCACGCCCCAGGAGAGTGGAAGTATCAAGGTTACGGGGTGCAGGATCAAGGTGTTTGGGTGTGGGACGAGGGGATTCCCGATATTTACCGACGGGCTGGATAACCGGGAACGAGATACGAAGAGGAAGCGATATGGGCTTAGGGCAGCGGATTCTAGGCCTGAGAGGCCAGTGTCGACTGTCTCTGGGCGACTATCCAAACCACCACCACAATTACATCCTATTCCAAAGAATCTGGATTTGACTGTGGTTGAGCCACAACCTCTGCTTGTGGTGAAGTCGACAAGTCTTTCCCAAAGCGCTCTCATGGTGCTCGAGGGCGAACGTAGGATTTTTAATATTACTTTTAAGAACCTGAGTGGCACAGATGTGGACCTTTTGGTATTTAGTTTCAGAGACTCTACTACGGGGAGAATTCAGCAAGCTCTTGCTGAGAAAGGAAATAGCCAGGCGGAGATGTATGAGCTAGAGCTGATGTTGGCAAAAAAGAGAGCCTTTGTTTGGCATCGGGAGAATAAGGAAATACAGGGTACTAGCGGGGCCTCGAATGGTGGCGATGGGGAGGAATTTGTGAACAGAGCCGGAGAGAGGGTAGTCTTCGTCCCAGCACATGGGGTGGCAACCTTTGAGGTTGAGGTACTGGGAAAGCCCGGATTGACACATGGAAGTGTCCAAGCAGACTACGGGCATTTGGGGATACCACGGAACGAGGTGGCCGATAAATTCTACACACGTCAGGTCATCTTCCCAGTCACTGTAACGGTGAACGCAAGTATCGAGTTGGCCCGTGTGGACTTTGTCCCTTTCAGTACAGATCTCCAATTTGACTCTTTCAACAACACACGAATGAATGGAGTGGAAGGACTAAAAGACGATCGAGAGGGCGTCGGCCAGAAGGGCCAATTCAAGGAGCTCTTCCGAAGAATGGGCTTAAAAGACGACCCAGGGCAATACTGCTTAATGCTCCTTGACCTCCGAAACGCCTGGCCTCATGCTCTTAAGATTAGGATGAACGTCCGAGACCCCTCCTCTAAAAATGCTGGAGACCCAGAATACGGCTGGGAAGACTCCTTCTATGCCGAGGACGTTCTCCAGGCCGGCCACACTTCCCGTGTCATCTTGCCAATAAAACGCATATTCCTGCAAAATCCCTCGCAGCCAATCCCTTCTCTATCTGCGAACCAACGTCAATTTGTTGTCTCAACGGCGAAAATATCGGTAGAGCAAGAGCGCCAATCCCGCGAATCATTCTGGTACCGCGGGGAAGTCCTCGACTGCGTTCGCGGACGCTGGGAGGAGTTGGCTACGGGGAGGTCGGGGGACATAGAACTTCGTGGGATCCGGCTAAGCCCTAGAATGGTTGAGACTATCCGCATAGAAGATATTGGCATCGACGTTTCCGTGCGGCAGGTGGAGGAGCAGGTCCGCAAGATTGGTCCGGCAAAGTACCTTGTCGTCACAGATAATTTCTTGACACTTGTCACTACGCTGACGAATCGGACAGCGAGGGCGGTAACCCCACTGCTTAGGCTCCTACCGGCGCTCAGGAATCAGGGGGCTAACAGCGGGGCCGCGATGGATTTGACCAGAAGGCTTGCGTTTAACGGGTTATTGCAGCAGAGCTTGCGGCCGTTGGAGCCCGGGGAGGTCAGGGTTGTGGAGACTGGGTTTGTAGTGCTGTGTAAGGGTGAGTTTGAAGTTAGCGCTAGCATTGAAGAGGTTAAGAGGGGTAGTGGTGGTGGAAGGGATGGGGCAGGCGGGGGTGGGTATGAGGGGATCCTGGGACCGGATGGGATTCCTATTGATGTGGTTGCGAAGATGATTGGGAGGAAGACGTGGGTTTCTAGGGAAATGTGTGTTATCGTTGCTAGGGATTTGGAGTAGTTGTTTTTGTGTAAATATAGTTTGTGAGGGAGTTTAGGATATCCTGTGGTGGGTAGGGAGTAAGGCAAGGTATCTGAAGGACAGGATATCATTGAAAGCTGAGAAGTCAATCATTACAGTTTGGCAGGGTCATAATAGATCATTTGCTCTCACTCACTCTCACGCATACCCTACCTCATCAAACCGTTCGCCTATTTCAGCTAGCAATTGATAGCATCACATGGCGTCATTCCATTCAATCTCATCCCTCGTTAGCCCGTCAATACACCACTAAGCTAACCCGAGAAAGCCAACCACCACCGTCACGCCAACAACCAAAACCGCACTGACCCCCAACCCCCCTGCGGCATCCTTCTCATCCCCCGAACCCCCCCCGGACCCACCCGACGCTGCAGCCGAACTGGTATTCTCTCCAGAGGGAGTATTACTCTCGTCATCCTTCAACGTCCTAATCTCAATACCGTCGATCTGGACACCGGCGCTGGTAAAGACCTTGTGGGGGGTCTTGGTCTGCGTTACGGGGACCAGTTTACCGAGATTGGTATTCCCGGAGCCCTTCTCCAGGATGTCAGCGGCGGGATTGGGCGAGAGGGTTGTAGAGGTGTTGAATTTCTCCGAGTGGCCCTGGAGGATGAAAGTGTCTTCGCACTTGGGGTGGCGGGCTGCAGTTGTCGCAGAGGATTTGGTCTTGATGAGGTCAAGGCTTATGTTGTTGTATTGGCTCTGCAGGTTATCGAAGTCCTTGAGAAGTCTTGCGTCGCCGTTAGAGTCAATCTCGACAATACCGTAGTCGCTTTTCTCTTGGGAGTATTCGTATAGGAGACCGCCGGACCATGAGGAGATCATACGCTCGCCATAGAGTGCCGCGATCTCGCCGAACGGTCTCGGACGGACCTTATTGCAGCCGAATTCCGAAAAGAACAGTGGGACAGATGTGTCCTTGAAGGTGTCCACTAGTCCCTGATAGCCTGAACTCTCCCATGTGGAATCCCCACACCACTGGTAGGAATTCAGTCCATAAAAGTCGGCCCTGCTATCCGCGTCGTCACCGCAGGAAAGATAAGCCCACATCGGTCGCCTGGTCGGGTCATCCGCGGCAGAGTACCCGACCGGGATAGTGCGAGTGGAGTGCTTGGCAATGTAGTCTTTCAGGTCCCGGTGGATCGCACGAATATACGGGGGGGCTAGGGATGCGGAGAGAGCGTCATTGACGACCTCGTTGCCAGCAAAGAAACCGAGTAGGTTAGGGTAGCCCTTGAATGCGTCGACGACGCTGTAGATGCGCTTTATATATCCTTCATGGTAAGAGGATTCAGGATCGTGGCGATGGATGGATTCCCCGGCGAGTGGGGAATTGACGTCTAGCGCTCTAGTTGGGGGGGGGGGGGTGGTCAGTGGGCGAGTGAGATATGGTGAGGGTGGGACATACACGTAGATCCCGACGGAATTGAAGATGGACATGCACATGTCGTGATTAACATTCGGGTTTACATTGTATACACGGATAGTGTTGATCCCGAGTCTCTGCATTATCGCAGCATCTTTACATACATGAATTAACACTAGCCACGAAATACCGCACGTGCTCTCCGAAGGAAGCTTACCGCGAAGACAGATGTCAGGATCACTCAACGGATCCTTTCCAGATGCCGGATCATACCCCGAAGCTAATGCCCACCCATAACCCGTCAGCTACACAATCCTGGCCCCAATTCCAGTGTGCGCGCGCACGGTGAGAGTAAACACACCGCCACCAGGTTGGTAGGCCAAGCCAACAATCACAAACCTGTCGCCGGCGGAATTGACAAAATTCCCACCGCTGAGGGTGAGTGGGCGAACGGCAGATGCGAATCCGGCGAGAAGGGATGCGAGAAGGGACTATGGAGGGGAAAGCCAGTTAGTTGGCCGGGGTGTTTGTGCGGCAAGATGGGGTGATTACAAGGTGCAGCTTCATTCGAAGGGAATGTAAACTACCGGTATTGCAAAGTTAAGAAACCGATTGATGTCGAGTTTGACACGGAAAGAGCGAACGAGTGACTCTTAGGAAACAAGCGAGGGACTGTGGCGAGGGTAACGAGCGATGGTGGGAGTGGGTGAGAAGTGAGAAGAGATGAAAAGGGAGGGAAGGGGGGAAGAGGTGAAGAGGTGAAGAAAAGGAAGGGAAGATGTGGGAAATGAGCAGGAGTGACGAGAGAGGTGTTTTTGGTAACATGCATTTGTTAGACTTATATTATATAGTATCAGCCTGCCGACTGCCATGTGACTTAGCAGTACAGGTACCGGCATTTTCAACGGGCTTTTGGGGCATAGTAATGTAATGGGCAGGGTGGGTTTTGCCTTCGGTTGGGCTTATGATATCGTACCCCAAATCATCAAGGATCAATTGAAATCTGGTTAGGATGTGATGTTCGCATCTAGCCTGATCTGCGTGACACAAAATTCTTATCGCCTTCTGATCGCGCAATAATTTCCACTGCAACCCGTCTTACTGATACTGTACTGTACGAGTACAGTACGGTACTCTCCTCCATCTCCATCTTACATCGCGGCTACCAGTACCACCCCACACCCCCGACTAACGTTTGATACCGCGCTGCACAAACCCACTTTCTCCACCATTAACCATTGATTCAGCGAGATCAATCTATTACTGCGACAAACTAGGGAAAATAGCGCTCAATGGACGAACCGGAAGATGATAACATCCGCAACGCCCAGGGCAATACTCAGGACGCCGATCTCTCGGATGAGACGCAAGACTTTCGCTTCCTAAATCTCCTCAACAACAAGTAACCCTCTCTTCCCCCCTCCTTTCCCCTTTCTAATGCTTATGGTGCCCCAGAACAGGAACCGCAGCTCTCCCCCGCCGCGGCGAAAAGGACTTTGAACCGGACGGCACCGACCTCCAGGACCGCGTTCTGAACGAATCCCGACAAGCAATGCACGAAGCACTGTTGGGGGAGCGTAAGCACTCGAATAAACAACATGTATCGGCGACCTGGCGGCCATCACGGCGCATGGCAGAAGTTCACGTCGCTCGAGGGCCACACTTCAAGACGGTCGGGAAGGCTGACAGACGGGGGGTATTGTGGTTGCTACCGGAGGAGACGATTTACCTGGTTGAGAGGGGGAACCTGGAGTGCTGGTGGGAGGAGGGCGTGCCGATGAGCCTGCAGGGCGTGTATGCTAGTGCGCTTGATGGGTGTGGGGGGTTGGAGCGGTATCAAGTGTATGCATATTTGAGGAGGGCGGGCTATATTCTTGCACGGGCACCGACCTTCCATGATGATGATGGTGCTGATGATGAGGGGGTGGCGGAGGAGGGGAAGAAGGAAGAGGGTCTAACTGGAACGATCCGACCGGCAACAACTACACCCCCCGGCATCTTCAAACAGCTCTTCACGGCCCTCTTCCTAACACCACCGAAAACACCACCTTTCGGTCCGGTAATCGCACGAGGAACTTACCGCACATACGACTCTATCTACTCCCGCTTGTCAATAATCCCCTCCCACCACCCCCCGCATACCCCTACCGACGTGGTAACAGCTGCCTCAAAGACCCCCTTCCGAATCGCCTACAGAGTCTGGAAACCCCAACCTCACTTTAAAAAGTCCGACCCGCCACCCGCAGACTTTCTTGTAGCCATCGTCAGCGCGCGAGAAACCTCCTTGCCAACGCTATCTCAGTTATCCGCCCTATTCGACTCGGTCCCCGTGGATGAGAAGATTGGTGGGAAGCCACAATTTCAAAGATTAAAGGACGGTTACAGGAATGTTGTTCTAGCGATCGTGGATTCGGGCGTTACAAGCTTCCTCAAGTTTGCGGATGTGGGATTTGGTGATGAGCCCATGTATAAATGGAAAGGCGGGAGAGGGAGGGGTGGAGGGAAGGCGGGCCGCAGCGGCAGCGGGAGAGGACGAGGCAGGGGTAGCGGAAGAGGAGGCAGGAGCGGTGGGGCGGCCGAAGTTGTTTCGTAACATGGCATGACACTGGCGTATATATATATATATAATTCATCCCACTCATGGATAGATAGACGTAGGCAAATGAGAATTATTATTTTTTTAAAAAAAACAAAAACAAAAAAATTTGCCAGTTTACCCCTCGCAGCACCTTCCAGCTGTACAGAACCACCCCCCCGCGTCAGGCACACAAAAAATCTGCAACCATCAACAACTCCAAGGCCAACTCTGGCGGAATGTCCATATCCGGCACATCCACGGCATCCTTATACTTTTCGTGATAACAAAAGTACTCGCAAACCTTCTCCAACACAACCCCACTACCGACAACCCCCCCCACAACAAACATTAGCAAATTTACAAAGAGGAAAGAAAAAAAACTCCAAAAACAAATCAAACAGATCTTATGTAAAAAGAGTCAGGAGCTGGAGGAGCCATACTTCATATTCTTGAAGACCACACGATTGAACTGCGCTTCCTCGAAATTGCTCTTCTTGTCCAGCATGCCCTTTATGGCGGGGGATATCATGACGCAGGATTTGCGCAGGATGAAGGTGTGGTTATCGTTGGAGACCAGGAGGACGGAATTCCGATCTTGAGTGGAGGGGGTTGTGGTAGTGGTGGTGGTGGTCATTTTCTTTTTTTTCTATTATTTTATTTTAATCTTTTTATTTTTGGTTTTTTGATGGTTGGTGGTTGGTGGTTGGTGAGGTGAGGTGAGGTGAGGTGTGAGAGATGAGGTTGAAAGAAGGTTGCGGTGCAGGTTTGGCTGTGCTGGGTTGTAGTGTATTGTGCTTGTACCGATACAGTGGCTTATGGGTACTTATATCTTAACTGGAACTGGATGGAAGGGGACAGGGTGGAGCTTTGGGATTTGTATAATAGATATGGGTGAGTGAGGCTTGGCGGGTGGGTCGTTGAATTGGTGGTGGAAGGGAGAGGGGAGGGATTCGGTTTGATGACTTACGAGACTTGCTTGGGCCGGAGTGACGAAAAAAAGGGTGGGTGGGGAATGCGGGGCCGGGAGGTTTATCGTGTGGCATTTTGACTAAATCTACGACGGCTACTTTAGCTTGCATAAATTTATGGGACAAGCTTCTCGGGTGAAAATTCGCTCGTCCACACTGTTAGTACTTGGGTTGTGGGTCGGATAGACTACCCGTAAGCTTTCACTCCCCTAGTACGGTAGTCTATATAGTACAGTACCGGTATTCAATCCCCATCTCATCCCAAAAGCTAGATCGTCACCAACAATGATGCGGTGTCCGTCACATACTGTGCACTCGAGTAATACGCCGGGACACAAGCATCGATGACAGTGATTTCACAACCCCCATTTTCAACCACCCCGGACAAGCCCTGAAGAAACTATCGATATGGTCAGAAAGGTGACCTACTAGTCCATTCATAAAGTACCAGGGAGCCCTGATACTGGGGTTTCTAGATAGCTTATAAATCGGCTAGTACTATAAACGCCCTACCAGAGTATCGTACGTACATACAAAGGTGAAAAGAGAGGGTGAAAGGGTGAAAAAGAAGGCATCAGAAATAATAGTGGTAGGGAGAGAGGTGAAAAGAGAAGCACAAGGAGAAAGGACAGCCAGAAGCATATCCGTTAGAGGAAGGTGGGGATAGATTGCGATAGCCGTAGTTGCCTGATTCCTAGGGGGAAAAAAAGAACGAACGGAAATATGAGAAGCATGGGTGCGAAATAAACAGAAATGAATAGAAAAAAAAAAAAA